TACATGTTTTGTTTAAAATCTATCTTGCTACTATCTGAGTTGGGGTTTCTGCCAGAGTTTATAAAGTAATATTCTCTAAACAATAGAGCTCATTGTTTTTAACCTTTTTGTTAAAAAAAAACATAAACAAAATATAAAATAAGGAATGCTTCCCCCCGCTTTTTAAAAAACATTTTATTTATTTATTTGACAGAGAGAGAGATCACAAGTAGACAGAGAGTCAGGCAGAGAGAGAAGGAGAAGCAGGCTCCCTGCTGAGCAGAGAGCCCAATGCGGGGCTCCATCCCAGGACACTGAGATCATGACCCCAGCTGAAGGCAGCGGCTTAATCCACTGAGCCGCCCAGGCGCCTGAGGAATGTTTTCCCCTTTTAAGCACATGAGACCAAGGACTGTATCTCTTCACTTCCTGTTAGTTGTTTGCTCACTTAATTTCCTCTCAGATCCACCACTTCTTATCTGTGTGAACTTTTCTCTCGTTACTTAACTGTGAGCCTCTGTTTCTTCTCCTATAAAATGGGACATCAGAACAGAACTTCCTCATACTGCTCTGAGAATTGCAGGGGTTTAGAACAGCGCTTGGAATCGAGTGCTGTGTAAATACCCGTGACCTTTACTTACTGAGCATCTACTATGTGCCAAACAATGTAGTACGGGGCATAGAGCAGGCGGGCCTGGGCAAACCACCATAAATACATGGTGTCAGGAGTGATAAGCACTTGAAAGAAAATAAAGCAGGGTAAGAATGTTGAGAATCACAGACATATTATCTTTATATAGGGAGATCAGAATGCCTGTCCGATAAAGACATTTTTTAGAGCCGACCTAAAGAAAGCGAGAGCAAGGGAAGTGGGTGCCTGGAACAATGAGAACCCCAGGCAGAGAGAAGATAAAGTGCCAAGGCCCTCTTGTGGAGTCTGGGGGTGGGCACTAGCCAGGAAGGAGGGCTGGGGATGTTGCTGGAGGGGAGACAATAAAGGAGAGTGAGAGGACAAGAGGTCCAAGAGGCAAGCTGGAGAATGCAAGGGGATCCACCACGGAGGACCTTGTTGGCCAGATTAGAGACTCAGGATTTTGTCTTGCTCAGACAGGAAGTCACTGGAGGGCTTTAACAGGGCAGTGACATGCGCAGAGGGGTGATACAGAAAGCCTGCTGCACTAGTCAAGACCACAAATGACAGTGACCGGATGGGGTGGCGGGGCTGGAACGAGTTCGGTAATGCTAAGATGCCTCTCCACTCTGCATTCGCCCTCGGCATACCCCTTTAACTGGCATTTATCGACCACCTACTAAGTAAGGTGTTGGGCCGAGACACTTTACCGGTGTTATTTCTTACCGTGGTGTGCAGGCCTTTAGCTAAAACGTAGTTAAGATTAGAATATTAAAGCTCCAAGAAATGTGAAAAACCATCTCTCTCAACTACGTCATTTTACAGCTGTGGAATTAGAAATCCAGAGAGATGAAATGATTTACCGAAGATCATACAGTTAGTGAGGCCAAGAGAAGGGCCCAGGCCGCAATATTCCTTCCTTTACGAAAGGGGATTTTCAAAATCAGTGTTTTACGGACTCAGAAAGATAACTGGAAGTACCTTCTTTAAGTTATTTCTCTTTGCCTCTTCTGATTTAAAAAGAACAGCAGCAACACTTTTTTCAAACTTGTTCTCATTAGTTTAATATTTATGAGAATCATTTCTAAAATGAGTACTTTTGAAGTTTCTAAAATAACTCTTTGCCTTAGGAAGTCTATATAAATGACTATTGCCATAATCTATTGACTGGCAGTTCTGCAAATCTATCACCGATAGAAATACCACCGACTTTCTGTAATTATTTCAGTGTGCCAATCTCTTACCAAAATAACTTCTGTAGATTAAAAACAGTATTTGTCATATTTAAGAAGGGGCTCAGTCTGCCTGCGTAGTATCAGTGATGGTAACAATATACTGCCCATTCCCAAGGAAAGGAAGACAAAGCACAGAGTCAGTCTCAGGAACAAATAAAGGATCTAGAACAGTGAAAGACGTTTGATTTTGAGAGAAAAGAGGAAATTTCACATATTTGCAGCTACGCTCTGTTCTCTTAACTTTGTATAACTCAAACACATTAAGAAGGAAATAAACAGAACTGAGGATAAAGCAGAACTTGGTAAGAATGTTCTAACTTGTGTCCTCCCTGAGTAAGCGATGAGTGGATTTTCTAATACGAAATCCTCTCTTCTCCTTCCCCAAGGCCAAGTTGTGTATTTGAATTTGGGTTCCCATCACTATACTCAAGACCCTTCCTCTAGCACCCTAAAACAGGACCGCCAAAGGGCTAGAGTTTTCTCTTTTCTCTTGGAAGACTTGTTAGAGATTTTAAGCCCCCAAGGATCTGAAATACATCCCTGGTCTAGTTAAGAACATTTTATAAAATTGACCGGTAGACGACTAGTCAAGCCTCCCCAGATCGGCAACAGAGCTTCTTGTAAGGTAATAAGTGTGAAAAGAGTCATTTCCCAATCATCTTGTTCATTCCATGCATATTAGGAGAGAGGAAAATTCAACTGAGGGCCAATTCTCCCCTAAGAATCCTTTAGTTTAATTATGACCACAGTATATTAAACGTCTGCAAGACATCCACACTAGCTCTGCCGCTCTTGCTCTCGGCAGTGAAAGAAAGAGAGAAAACACTTTCCCTACTAAAAAGACAGGGAAGGATGCTCTTGTGGTTCTAAACCATGGTTGAAAATTCAATTTAACTGACTATGAGGCCACTGTGCTTCTTATAAATGAACATCTCTTTGCTGCTAATTTTGTGCTATTTTACCTTTCATTAAAAAAAGTAATTCAGGTTAAACTCAGCTGAACAGCAAAAAGCTCTTGATATTTTGAAGCATTTTGGAACAATTACTTTGACAGGAGCCCTTGACAGTTAAATGACTCCGTTAAATGAATGTTATAGAAGACACATAATGATTTTTAGTGAAATATTGAATTTAACCACAAATGAGGAAAAACCAGTCATAAGCACTATGGGTATATTTGAATAATAACATCTTGCTTATGAACCTCAATGGATTCTATAATTTCTAATAATCATGCAATCAACTAGTTAGCTGTATGCTTCCTATCTCGGTGCTCTCAATTTGGTTTTGGTTTTTGCTTTTGTTGTTGTGTTTTAAGCTGAAAAATCAATATGTAAATTGTGAAACTGGCAAGGATTTCCTCTTACACCAGTAGGATATTTTAGAATTAGGCAATTAATGATTGCCGTCCCGCCACTAAAGCCTTCCTCTTTCCTTTTTCCCATTTGCTGAATGAGATTCTTTCACAGGGTAAAAAATCAGGAAAAGGCAGAAGCCTGCTGCAGGAGAACGTGTGAAGTCAATGTCTGTCAGTGTTTCCTCCACCCATGGGACTCAATATTCCTTTTCTTATTTTATGGATCGAATGTGAGATGATATCAAGACTCTTACGTGCTTTCTCATGACTAATGTCTAAAATATGTACTGAAATAATAAAACTGGTACTGTTCAATTTCCTTTTTAAATTCAATCTCAATATAAGTGGGAGTGCCCGTGTGATAGCAAAATCTGGCTTAATATAAAATTCTGTTTTCTGGAGAAGAGAAGCTCGATATCCTTGTAGACTTAAAACAAAACAAAAACGTGGTTAGGAGTCAGCGGGGACATTCAGGGTGAAGAAATGAGTCAGAAAAAAAGGAATGTTCTTTATATTGCTTGTCTGGCAAGGAGGGGTGACAAGTGCATGCTAAGCATACCGGGTGGTATGGCTTGGGCCACACTTCCTAATTCTTTCAAGGAGGTGAGGTACATGTACTCCTGTACCCACTGCTTCCTGCATTTACCTTCCTTCAGCAACTGCCGATTTATCTGCCTCTCCTCCCCACCAGATGGTCACCCCTTGAGGACCAGAATGTCTTTGGATTTTGCATCCCCCAACTTTTCTGAGCCAGGAAAAGTTGTTCAATCAATGCACTTCTGAGCAAAGAATGCTTAGCTCCTTCGGCTGATCGTGAAAATACTTGGAAAAGACCAGACAGTTTAAGTATTTGGTACTTGTGAAGGAAAAGTCCAGATATACAGCAGGCTGCCTAGATTAAACATTACCTGTAACCATCCTAACTCCAAGTGTGGTCCATACACCAGCAGCAACAGCGTCGCATGGGAGCTTTATAAATATGGAACCCCAGGCCCCACAGCAGACCACTTGAGTCAGATCTGCATTATAACGAGATCCCCAGGTGACTGACGCGCAGTGAAGTTTGAGAAGCATTTACCTAGACTATGTGACTAGTAGGACACCCGAAGCCGTGACGGTATATGCCACGGACAGGAAACAAGGCCACAGCAATATGATTAATACAGAGATCAGCTGAGAACGTTTTAGAGCTCTCTCAGGACAGAGTCACCGGTGGGGAACTCACTTATACCAGTTCCTCTGGAACGCTTTCTAGATACTTCTTCACGCGCTTGCCTGTTTAAAGACACAGCTGCTCTTAATAATGGTCTTTTCTCCTTGGTGCAAAGAGAGTATTTATCGTCAGCATGCTGACATTTGCAGGAGTTCTGGCTTTCTCCAGTGCAAGTGTGGATGATTGAAAGGATATTGCTGACACCTGAATAAGAAATCCAATGACTCCAAGCTATGTAAATTTAATTATTTCCTTTAATTTTTTTTTTTTTTTTTTCAGGAATCTCTTTTTCTTTTCCTCAGCTTTGGAGAAGTCCTAGCAATTTTCATTTAAAAGAAATACAAGTCAGCAGTGGTTCACTGAACAGGCTGACACGCAATTTCGTAGGGGGAGAGGAGCTGTGTCTTTAATCTAATTTGTGCTCTCAATTCCCAGCTAATGTATCTAGGGATCGTGATGTATGCATTTACAAGGAGACATCTGTAATGCAGAGTCCAGCTCTCCGCAATTCTCTGAAACATGGGTAAAAAATTAGTCTGGGCGCTTGCAGCTGTCCGACAACCCAATAAATCTCCGTATACTCACAGATGTAGAAATATTCCCGGCCTGGCCTGAATTCAAATCCTAGGGAGAAGGGTGTGAAAAGCTGGAATTTTTCAGAGAACTTGAGCGGTCCGTTTGGAGAGTGGGGCCGGTTACATTCCCATCTCTTGAACCCTTTGGAAGTATGGTCACAGGCACTGTACCCATCAAAGTTCACCATGTAGAGGACATAACGCTCAGTCTTGTCTTCTGGGACCGAGTCCTCATAGTGAGGGCAGAAAACATCCAGGTAGTCATTGATACAGACGTCAATGTGGTAGTCACCTCTCTGGAATCTGTGGGAAGATGAAGAAAAAGATGAGATTATTTGCACAGAAAAGACTTCCTGCTCGGAATCATCAGTGGTAGAATAACTTTAATACCGCAGGTGCTAACAGATTTATCATAGTAAGTTTTTACTGCATCCCATTGGATGTGGGACATGTTACCATTCCAACTCTCAGGAACAGCAGTTTTACAGAGGAATTCATTTACCTTGGTTTCAAAACACCCTAAACATGGAACTCTTCACATTCATTTTCAGTCATGCAGAGGCTGACTTGCTATGTTCCTTTCATTCTGAGGATCACATATATTGAGGCGAAGTTTTGGTATTTTGAAACAGCGTTTCATTTCATGAGTGCTTTTGAATAAATGAATAAGTCATTTAAAGAACAAATGAATGACTGAATTGTTCTTGCTATAATTGAGACCATTCTCAATTTCCTATGCAAATGCAGAGAAGCAGAGTCATAAAATTGAGAGAATTAGGATCATAAAATTTAAAGGTTGGAAAGAAAATTCCTAGAACACTTCCACGTTAGAGGAAAATAAAAGCCTAAGGCGCAATGATAAAGCAGTGAGTGACGGAGCTGGATCTGGAACGGTGACTTTGGGTCCTACCTAGTCAGCTGTTTCCCTTAGTGAATCTGCTTATGTCACAAACTCGTTTTGGCAGATCTCTTTTGATGCCCCAGCCTTTTCTATATTAAGAAAATTAAAACCAGCTAAGTCCAATGAGCTCCTCCCCTCATTTTTTTGTTTTTAAAGATTGTACATATTCATTTGACAGAGAGAGACACAGTGAGAGCGGGAACACAAGCAGGGAGAGAAGAAGAGGGAGAAGCAGGCTTCCCGCTGAGCAGGGAGCCTGATGCGGGGCTCAATCCCAGGACCCTGGGATCATGACCTGAGACCAAGGCAGATGCCTAACTTCTGAGCCACGCGGAAGTATCCCCTCCCCTCATTTCTTTGTGTTCTAGGGCCAGACTGGACCACTTCCATCCTGAAAGTTAAATTACACACACACACACACACACACACACACACACACACAAATATACACACACACCACTGTATGCATCACACTGTCTGCTTCAATTCCTAACCTCACAAGAGTTTTGCTTATTTGTGTTAACTAATGATACTCTCCCCTTCAGATGAACAGACTTCTCAGGAACTAAGGACCTGTGAAACAGGAATTGTTATGTATACAATTTCCTAAAACCAGAACAGAAAACCCTACAAAACCCTCTTTTTTAGCTAAGGAGGAAAGTCTCTGAGCACTCTGAAAGTTCATCATAAAACTGTTACTGCCAAAATACAAATGCCCATCAAGTCATCTAGTCTTTGAGTCAGCTGGTCTTGGTGTGAACACTTTCCAGGGACAAGTGAGCTGGTCTATTCCATTTTTGGGCATCTCTAAATTTTAGCAAGTTTCTTCTCATCTTGAGCACAAATCTGCTTCTGTGTGATTTCCACCCAGTGATCCTGCTCCGGCTGCCTGACATCACAAAGAACAAATCCAATTCCTCTTCCTTCCTCCCCTTTATGGACCAGACAGTCCATAATAAATACGGAGTTGTCAAATACATCTCTGTATCCTCCTATCTCCATACTTGAAAGTCCTGATTTTTTTGGTTATTTCTGCTCCCAGGCTTCTCACATTCTAGATTCTCAACTCTCCTCGTGTCCTGTAGTCTCCCAGCGTTCTCCTTAAAATGCAACTCCCAGACACAACCAACCTCTCGGACAGGTCACTGTGACCCGCGCCCAGCTCAGGAGACCTACAAGCTTCACTCTGGATGCTAAGTAGTTATCGATGAAGCTGAGATTCCTTTCTGAAACAGAACATGATACAAGTGGAAACTCCTCATGTTAGTTGGAAGACCTCGATTTAAGGATTGCTGTTGGTTGAGCGGGGGAATCAGAAGCCATTTGAGCCTCAGTTTCCTCAAATGTAAGTGGGAATGATAACGAGGATCTGCCTTGCTAACCTCACATGACTGCTTCAAGTCCCAGATGATGAAATGGATGAAAAGCCATGCGAGTGTACAGCATTATTATCAGGATATATTAAAGCACATTAAAATTGGTAACTGACAAAATATTAACCTTACAACCACAGCAGTCAATGTAAACCACAATAAAAATAATCCCCGTTTCCCTTTTTAAAAATCTCCAAAGACAGGAAATCATATAAAAATCCTAAATTCTGTCCTCAACTATCAAATGCTCCACAGAAACTTCATTTGATCAATGCTTTTAAAAAACAGCCTGCTGATTTATATAAGGAGAACAAGCAGAGATGACCAGATCACTGTTCAGTTAGAGGATCTCAAAATGCATGAAATTTTTGAAAAAGATTTTATTTATTTATTTGAGAGGGAGAGGGAGACAGAGAGAGAGAGAGAGAGAGCGAGCGAGTGCACACTCAGGGGGAGCTGCAGGCAGAGGAAGAAGCAGGCTCCCCACTGAGCAGGGAGCCCCATGTGGGACTCAATCCCAGGACCCTGGGATCATGACTTGAGCCAAAGGCAGAGGCTTAACCAACTGAGCCACACAGGTGCCCCAAAATGCATGAACATTTAAAAAAAAAACAACAAAACAAAAAACATGGAAGTATTTCTCTATATTTACAATGATCACGGAATATTTTTCTTCATTACCGGCAGACGATGATTTGTCAAGACGCAAGGAAAGCCTGTGTTGCTTTTAAAAGATTTCTGAACATCAAGGTAACATCACTGCCAAAGTACAAAGAAAAGACACTGCAGCGTTCAGATAAAAGGGTGCTGGGATATGAATCATCAGCACTCAGAGTAGCCTGACAGGTCTGGATGGGAGCCAGACAAGAACAGCCGCAGAAGGCAATGCCCAGATGCACTTTATATTATTATATTATTATTATAGATTTTAAAGATATTCAAGGGGGAAGTTTTCCCTTTCTCTAAGTGTCGCTCATTTTAGCTTCTACTAGCACTTGACACAGCCTAAAAGTGGGAAAAAAAAAAAAAATTAAAACTGCCACTGTCCAGACCAATTCTGTTATTGCTCTAGTCTACAAATTGCCATTGTTTTTGATGCTTTGAACTGAGCTTCCTTTCTCCAACTTTTATCCCCATTAATACTGTGTAAGTTTTAATACAACAAGCCATGAGCTTGAAGACACCCTTTACGTTGGGTTGACCCTATTCCTTTCTGATGACATTTTGCTTTGTGTGGGGTGTTAAATGAATCACCGTGGAGCATACTTTGAACTTGTGATCACCCTAGTGATTAGTAATTCTACCCCTCTATCCATATGACAAAGATGATGATTCACCACAGAATCATCTTAACCTGTTTGAGATCTTTCATTTGCACAAGTTGGTGTACTAATACAATTTTTAAAGGAAGGACAATACAAACATAAAAACAATGATAAACTAGAACTCATAAAAGGCATCCCTGTGACATACCCAAGTATAATCCAAAGAAGAGTTTAGGGTCAGATATTCTAACATGACCCCATATCATGCTCTTTGGCTACAGAGTAGTACTGAACCATTCTTTTCTGGCCCTACTGTGGAGAGGCACACATGTATGGCTAATATAATTGAGTGTTTATTATGTTACATTCAGCACCTTTATTTAATCCCCATCACAGATCCTATAGAACAGACACTATCAGTACAGCCATTTAAAAATGAGGATTTCGAGGCTAATTAGCCAGGCAATGCGCCCAGTGTCACAGAGCTAGTAAAATGTGCAGGCAGAAGTCAAGGCCAAGCATTCATAACTCAGAACTGAAGTTTTTTACTATTCTACTTCCTGAGAGATAAAATTGCTAAAGTCAAGTTCTTAGGTCTCTTCATCCCACAGAGGGACAATTCTAATTCTTGCTGCTACACACACGTGCTGCATCTAGGATCTGCCATGGTATGGCTTTACCTATGTTGTCACGGAAATCCTCCTTAGGTAGTTACAGTTAGTTTCATTTTCCCAATGAGGAAATGGCATTCAAAGAGGTTATCATCCTCTGAGTTCATTTTTTCCCACAGGAAACCAGAAGCAGAGTTAGGATTTCAACCCGAGTCTTCTCTGATCCTGAAGCCAATTCTCTTTCCTCCTAAACGCTATGGTTCCAAAGTTTTTACCAATTGTTGTGATTCCCCTCACCCGAAGAAGCCCTTTAAAGGCTTTTGGTGCCATTAGGTTACCTTATGTTTATACTGACCTTCTAGCAAAGGCAGGTGCAAGGTGTCCTGGCCCTGCTCCCTCCCCATGACACTGGCCCCAAACTCCTAAACTGAAGGCTGTGTCGACATCCAGAATAGGGCTCACACAGCAGGGTTAGCTCCCGACTCAGGCACAAGAGTGTGGTTTTTCGTGGAATCAAGTGCTGTTAGGCTCAGCAGCTGGGCCACAAAGGGATCTCCCCAACCCTGCCCCCTCGACAAAAGGCTTTCATTCCTATTCAAAGAGCAAGTTCAAATCTAGGAAGAATGATTCCACATGCCAATATTTACAAAGGTCACAGGTGGCAAGGCTGGTGTTTTAAACACATTTGCAAATTTCTTGGACATTTTCTTGTAAAGGTCTCCCCCTTACTCCTTATCTTTAATTCCATCCATTGTATCTGTGGTGCTCTACCTCTCTGAAATCATTTCATGTTAAGAACTCGAGGAATTTCTGGCTGCACACCAACAAGCCAGCAATAATTACAGTATGATCTTTACTAAATTATCACAGTGGCTTACAGTGTAAAATCATGCACAGTTGCCACACTTAGAAAAGTGATTGTGTTTGAGTAATATGATTACCGCCCTGTGTTCTCATTATACAAAAGTCTCAAATGCCAGGAAACATCCTGTATACATGAAAAGATGGCGTTCGCTCTCCACTGACTTGCACGGCTACGAGGGTCCAAGCTCCAACTAACATATAATAGTATCTATAACTCTGGGAACACATGAATACATTGTATACATTTACCAAAATTTGACAGTAGACTGGTTGAGAATCAATGTCATTT